CTGTGCTGATGTGGTCTGGCACCAGATGGACGAGAATCTGCTGGCCACAGCAGCCACCAATGGTGTGGTGGTTACATGGAACCTAGGTCGGCCATCCCGAAACAAGCAGGACCAGCTGTTCACAGAACACAAGCGCACAGTGAATAAAGTCTGTTTCCACCCCACTGAGGCCCATGTGCTGCTCAGTGGCTCTCAGGATGGCTTCATGAAGTGTTTTGACCTCCGCAGGAAGGACTCTGTCAGCACCTTCTCTGGTGAGGCCCACAGAGACGGGCTGGGGTAGATGTGTGTTTCTGTAGCTGTTAGACCTTAGAAGCAGACTGCAATGTGCGCTCCCAGAGGCTGAACAGCACTGGAAGAGTGGGTGGAGAGGGGGAAGGTTGGTCCCAGTGAAGGATGAGCCCAAGCCCTGCGGGTGGGGGAGAGACAAGAGATCAGACCAGTGGGAATTGAGACTGAGTGTTGGGTGTTGATGATAGGGGTAGCTGATAGCCTGGAGACACAGCAGAGTGAGTGGCGGCCGAGTCTGCTCTCTTTTCCTCACCTTGCTTCAGCTTGCTTCATTGCAGCCAATCTACTAGTCTATTCAGGACTCAGCCCAGGGATGCAGAGTGAGGTGGGAAGTACACCAAGCTCCTTTCATGGCATGCCTGGCTGTCTGTCTTCAGGCCTGAGCTTGCTCTCCCTGGTTCTTTTTTTTTGTTTTGTTTTTTTTTGTTTTTTGGTTTTTTTTGGTTTTTCGAGACAGGGTTTCTCTGTGTAGCTTTGCACCTCTCCTGGAACTCACTTGGTAGCCCAGGCTGGCCTCGAACTCACAGAGATCCGCCTGGCTCTGCCTCCCGAGTGCTGGGATTAAAGGCGTGCGCCACCACCGCCCGGCCTCTCCCTGGTTCTTAATGAGACCAAATGAAGCACAAGCAGAGCCTTGAGCCCTTGGAGAATGTGTGGATTGAGACGATCTTGAGCTGTCTATGGCAGGGAAGACTGGATGCTGCACCCGCAGGCTCCTGATAGTGTAGTCTGCTAAGGTGGATATGGTCTCAGAGCTCTTCGGTCCTTTGGGGCTAACTAGGCAGCTGGCAGAGGTATTGAGCAGAGAATGAGATAACCTCCTCTTCCATGCATATTGTCTCACAAGCTTTGGCCCTAGGGAAGTGTAGACAGCCATCTGGGTTGGGCTCCCATACCCTCAGTGCTCACGGAATCCAGGGAATTGAGGCGTGGGAGTTTGTATAGAAACTACCTGGCATGCTCTCTCTGGCCTAGGCTTTAGAGACCTACCCAAGGCAGATTCTGATGGTGTCTCCTCAGTCCTCTGTGCTTCCTAGCTCGGCCAAGGCTGGTGAATGACACCACTCCAGCCATTTCAAGGGCTCCCCAGTCCCTTGAGAGCCAGCCCCCTCTCTCACGCCTCTACTGATGCATGCCCACAGGCCAATCTGAGAGTGTGCGGGATGTGCAGTTCAGTATCCGAGACTACTTTACCTTTGCCTCCACCTTTGAGAATGGCAACGTCCAGCTCTGGGACATCCGCCGACCTGATCGATGTGAAAGGATGTTCACAGCCCACAATGGGCCTGTCTTCTGCTGTGACTGGCACCCAGAGGACAGGTGTGGTGTAGGGGTGAGGAGGGCATTAAGGCTGGAGGTACAAGACACAGTGGGGTGTGGCAGGGTCTCCTTTCCCCCAGGAGAGGTCACTGAGAGCTTAAGTGGAACCTTCTCCACAGGGGCTGGCTGGCCACAGGTGGACGAGACAAGATGGTGAAGGTCTGGGACATGACAACACATCGTGCCAAGGAGATGCACTGTGTGCAGACCATCGCCTCGGTGGCCCGAGTTAAGTGGCGGCCTGAGTGCCGCCACCACCTGGCCACTTGTTCCATGATGGTAGACCACAACATTTATGTATGGGATGTTCGCCGGCCTTTCGTGCCAGCTGCTATGTTTGAAGAGCACCGTGATGTCACGACAGGCATTGCCTGGCGCCACCCACACGACCCCTCCTTCCTCCTCTCCGGCTCCAAGGACAGCACCTTATGCCAGCACCTGTTTCGTGATGCCAGCCAGCCTGTTGAGCGTGCCAACCCGGAGGGCCTCTGTTATGGCCTCTTTGGGGACCTGGCCTTTGCTGCTAAGGAGAGCCTGGTGGCTGCTGAATCTGGGCGCAAACCCTATACTGGTGACCGGCGCCATCCCATCTTCTTCAAGCGCAAGTTAGATCCTGCTGAACCGTTTTCTGGCCTGGCTTCCAGTGCGCTCAGTGTCTTTGAGACGGAGTCTGGTGGTGGCAGCATGAGCTGGTTTGTGGATACAGCCGAGCGTTACGCTCTGGCTGGTCGGCCACTGGCCGAGCTCTGTGATCACAACGCAAAAGTGGCTCGGGAGCTTGGCCGCGACCAGGTCTGTGGGCTCGGGGTCCAGGGCCATGAGTGGGTCAGAGACGACTGCTGTAGTGGGCACCGTACCCACCACCTGAGCCTCACACTGCTCTGGGCAGTCTCACTTGGGCCAGAGTAGCCCAGACCCTGGCTCAGCCTCAGGGGTGGAGGCCTAGGGAGTCAAGTGCCCACAGCCCTCTTCTGCCTCACTCTTGGTGGTGGAGCCGCCTTCTGCATGCCATCTCTCTTCTCCCCGTGCCAACCCCAGCACCAGGTGCCTCACAGTTGGCATTACTAGAGGGTAGAGACAGTGCTTTTTCCATGTGCCACAATTCCCTTAGTGGGGGTGGTTCAGGCCATGGATTGGTACATGACTCTGCCCAGGAGATGGGGGCCAGTCTGGGTATTAGGTGCCCAGGACCCATGAGTGGTTGGTGCCTATCCCTAGGTGGCACAGACATGGACCATGCTACGGATTATCTACTGTAGCCCAGGCCTGGTGTCCTCTGCCAATCTCAACCACAGCGTCGGCAAAGGCAGCTCCTGTGGCCTACCACTCATGAACAGGTAGATCCTTGGCCACTCCCCCCCCCCCCCCCACACCGGGTGTATTGCTGGGGCCCAGCCACCCACAAGCCTTCCCTACCTCTAGCTTCAATCTGAAGGATATGGGCCCAGGGCTGGGCAGTGAGACACGACTAGATCGCAGCAAAGGGGACACGCGGAGTGACACCGCTCTGCTGGATTCTTCAGCCACACTCCTCACCACCGAGGGTAGGCGGGGTGTGGATGGGAACAGGGCTGGGGACCCACGCCCTGAGTGACCTCCCTTCCCTGCTGGGCAGATAACGAGGAAACTGAGGGCAGTGATGTGCCTGCTGACTACCTGCTGGGTGATGTAGAAGGAGAGGAGGAGGAGTTGTACCCACTGGACACAGAACACGTGCACCGTGAGTGGGGCCGGGTGAGGTAGAGTTGGTACAGAGGGTCACCCCCAAAGCATGGCTCTGTGAGCGGGAGCGGAGTGCAGTGGGAGCCTAGGCTCAGGTCCATCTTTCCCCACCCCTGCCTCTCAGCTGAGGAGCCTGAGTACGTGCTGCCACAGGAGGCCTTCCCACTACGTCATGAGATTGTGGATACACCATCGGGGCCTGAACACCTGCAGGACAAAGCTGACTCTCCGCACGTAAGCGGCAACGAGGCAGACACAGCTTCGTTGGCACCAGTGGATTCCTCCTCGTCCTTCCTTTCTGTCTCCCATGCTCTCTATGATAGCCGCCTGCCCCCTGACTTCTTCAGTGTACTGGTACGGGACATGTTGCACTTCTACGCTGAGCAGGGCGACGTGCAGATGGCTGTGTCTGTTCTCATTGTGCTGGGTGAGAGAGTGCGCAAGGACATCGACGAGCAGACCCAGGTGTGTGATGGGTCAGGGACGCTCTCCCTGGACTAGCCACTTGTCCCCTCATCTGAGCCTGTTCCCTTTCTGCTGTACCCCCTCCCCCAGTTTGCCTGGAAGCTCTAACCTGAGCCTGTCTCCTTCCCCCAGGAGCACTGGTACACATCCTACATTGATCTGCTGCAGCGCTTCTGCCTTTGGAATGTGTCCAATGAGGTGGTGAAGCTCAGCACCAGCAGGGCAGTTAGCTGCCTCAACCAAGCTTCCACCACTCTGCATGTCAACTGCAGTCACTGCAAGCGGCCCATGAGCAGCCGTGGCTGGGTCTGCGACAGGTGCAATGATGGGATTGGGAGGCTTGGGAGGGAGGCAGCACAGAACCCCCCACTGAACAATCCCTCCCACTCCCAGGGAGGGAGGCAGCACAGAACCCCCCACTGAACAACCCCTCCCACTCCCAGGGAGGGAGGCAGCGCAGAACCCCCCACTGAACAACCCCTCCCACTCCCAGGGAGGGAGGCAGCACAGAACCCCCCACTGAACAACCCCTCCCACTCCCAGGGAGGGAGGCAGCGCAGAACCCCCCACTGAACAACCCCTCCCATTCCCAGGGAGGGAGGCAGCACAGAACCCCCCACTGAACAATCCCTCCCATTCCCAGGGAGGGTGGCAGCACAGAACCCCCCACTGAACAATCCCTCCCATTCCCAGGGAGGGAGGCAGCGCAGAACCCCCCACTGAACAACCCCTCCCATTCCCAGGGAGGGAGGCAGCGCAGAACCCCCCACTGAACAATCCCTCCCACTCCCAGGTGCCACCGCTGTGCCAGCATGTGTGCTGTCTGCCATCATGTGGTTAAAGGCCTGTTCGTGTGGTGTCAGGGCTGCAGTCATGGTGGCCATCTTCAGCACATCATGAAATGGCTGGAAGGTAGCTCCCACTGCCCTGCAGGCTGCGGCCATCTCTGTGAATACTCCTGACCTGGCCTTCCCTGAGGCTGAGGCAGCTTCCTCAGCTCAACCCTGAGGTCCACCTGACTAGGCTCACAGCCGCTTACCCATCCCATGTATCAGGATGGACGGCGGCTGCAACCTGTTAACCCAATAAAAAGCAGGAGCTGCTGTTAAGCCAGTTGTCACTTTGATTGCGCCGCAGGCGGGAACTTCCGGTAGGAGCGCTGTAGCCATGGTAACCCGCAATAACCAATGGCTGCTCAACACAATGTTCACTCCGCCTTGAGGAAATGATTGAAGGGGGATGGTGTTTATGAAGGAGGCTTCCAGGGCCGGGCTGGCTGCTGCTTGCCGATAGCTACGGCAGTCAGGGCGGTAGGCCAATGGCTCGTGGTTACGCAAGTGTCGACGGGATTCCCAGCGTGCTGCGCGCCTACACCCGCATGTTCATGGCGGCGGCTAGATGGCCAGGGCCGCTTTTGGTCTTTGTACTATGGACGATGGTGACTGTGGTCCTGCCTGGCTCTGGCGAAGGGGGATGGTGAGCGGCAGAGAATGTGCGGTTTGGAGCCTTAACTCAGAGCCCTGGCAGGTCGCGCTAACCTGTTGTCCCCACAGGCAGCAAAGCTGGCTGGGGACTGTAGCAGCAGTGACGGAGGAAGAGCGTTGCACTGTGGAGCGCCGAGCACACCTCACATACTCCGAATTCATGCAGCAGTATGTGTCCCTGCCCCCAGTTTCAGCATTATTCTAGGCATACCCCCAAGCATGATCTTTTGGCTGCGGAGGTCATACCTTCACTGCCTGGTGCACAGGAGAGGCCCCTGCAGGGTTCAACTCGCTGCCCTTCCTCCCCTAGCTACGCCTTCCTCAAGCCGGTCATATTACAGGGACTCACAGACAACTCGGTGAGTACTTGTACCCATGTGGGCAACTAATCCTGACTGACCAGTTGCTCAGTTCTTTTATCCTCCAATCCTAGAGGTTCAGGGCCCTGTGCTCTCGGGAAAACCTGCTGGCCTCGTTTGGGGACAACGTTGTTCGCCTAAGTACAGCCAACACCTACTCCTACCAGAAAGGTGAGCTATCACACCTTTCAAGGCCTGCCTGCTTGCCAGCATCCCAAAGGCAAGACTGACCAGTCCTGACTGCCCCTTCTCGTAGTGGACCTGCCCTTCCAGGAATATGTGGAGCAGCTGCTGCACCCCCAGGATCCCACATCCCTAGGCAATGGTGAGCCAGACCTGGACAGCTTTGGGGATGGGACACTTAGCAGTGCACTGCTGCCAGTATTCTTGTCTCTCATCTTCTCTGCTGGCAGACACCCTGTACTTTTTTGGAGACAACAACTTTACTGAGTGGGCACCACTATTCCAGCATTATTCTCCACCTCCGTTTCGTCTACTGGGAACTAGCCTTGCTTACAGCTTTGGAATTGCAGGTGGGTGCTTCTTCAAAACACATGTGGGGAAGCCCATACATACTTTGTTCATCATTCACAACTGACCCCACAGGAGCTGGATCTGGGGTACCCTTCCACTGGCATGGCCCTGGTTTCTCCGAGGTGATTTATGGTCGGAAGGTCAGTACAAAAGTACAAGAGTGGGAGCTGAAGTTTGGGATCTGTGTCCTTAGCACACCAGAGTAACTTTATACTCCTTCCTCCAGCGCTGGTTCCTCTACCCTCCTGAGAAGACACCAGAGTTCCACCCGAACAAGACCACACTGGCCTGGCTACAGGAAATATACCCATTCCTAGCCCCTTCAGCTCGGCCCCTGGAATGCACCATCCGGGCTGGTGAAGTCAGTGGCTGGCAGGTGGGGGTTGGGCTGACCCAAAAAGCTCCAACCAATCTCTGTGCTTTTCTCCCAGGTGCTGTATTTCCCTGACCGGTGGTGGCATGCCACACTCAATCTGGACACCAGTGTCTTCATTTCTACCTTTCTTGGCTAGCCAAACAGGCAACTGGCAAGCCCACTGCACCAGCACATGCCAATGTAGTGCTCACAGACTTTATTACAGGACAGTGGCGGCAGCAGCAGCAACCTCAGCCCACCCTTACCCGCTTTCCAGCCCAGAAGGGGGACAGGGGAGGCTCATGGCCCAGCAAGGGGTATGCCGAGTAGGGGAGCAGTTCAGAACCCATCAGCAGGACTGATGGGGGCAGGCCCAGGGACACAAACTATATACAGGGACTGGAGCTTCTCTCTCCAGACCCTCCTGGGCCAGGGTGCCAGGCAGGACATGGGGCCTTAGTAGTCCTCTACCCAGCCGTTCTCAGAGATGAATGCATCAATGACTTCCTTCATGGCCAAGTTGGGTATGAGCTGTTCCTGGGTCAGAGGGCTCCGGGTCACAGGGTCAAAGTGGCCCACACGCTGCAACAACAGAGTCAGAGTGTTCAACCACCTAAGTATACCTCTGATCCTAGTCCTGAGGCCCATGGACCCTTACCTGCAGGTGCTCCTCAATGTCCTTACGGTCATAAGTGATACCACTGGGTGTGATGCAGGGCTCCCGCATCAGCTCAAAGCTGATCTTGCCACACAAGTAGTCCGGGATATCTCGCTTCTATAGCACAATGGGAAAAATATCTGCAACTGGAAGGGTCACCTCAGCAGTACCTGCCCATGGGCTTCAAAGAATACTCACCTTTCTTTTCTCATCCACCTGAGAGAAGAGCTCATCCATGTCTGCCATGTATTTATCCTGTAGAGTTGAGTGCCATGTGTGGGCAACTCCTATCTCCTCCACACAGACACACACACCTTATGTCCACCAGGGCACTCATGTCATGCATGGGCCAACAGATCCACCATAGGCTGGGGCACTTTTCATGCCACACACAAAAACACACACACAACGACCCACATGTGGACTAGGGGCACCCTCACGTGCTTGGCCTCAATGCAGGCCTGCTGGGCCCGGACGTGGCCATCATCCTCATCACCCTCGTGGTTCCTCTGACACTCTTCCAGTTCCCTGAGAGTTAACCAGAAGCTAGTAGTCAGTGATGGTCCTGACCAGAAAATGCCAGAGCCCTCCCCATTTCAGGCCTCTTGCCTCCTGGGCTTCCCATGTTCCAGTGTTCTTTCAATAAACTCTTGTGCTGGTGACTCAGTGTCAACCCGAGGAAGTAGCATGGAAGGGGGGGGGGGACACCCACCTCTCTCGCTCAGCAGCAATGAGCCTGGTGAGATAAGAGTGCAGCTCACTCTCCTGGTGAATGCGCCGTTCCTCGATACTGTTCCAACGCTTCTTCTTAGCAATGCGAAGCGCACTAGGGATATCATCCCCAAAGTTGAGTCGCTGCTCCTTGGCCAAACTATAGGCTGGGGGAGTGGACACTTTAAGTTACACTCGTCAACAATGCTGGCCCCAAGGTGCCCACAACCTGGCATCTTGTCAGCCCACCTCGCTGCAGATTGGCAATGGCCTCATCATAACTCTCCATCTCTAGCTGGCACTGCCCCAGGAAGAAGTGCGCCTTCACAGACTGCCCATCCAGCTCCAGGGCTCTCCGGCAGTCAGCAAGTGCCTGTTCAGGCTGCTGCATCTTCAGATAGCACAGGGCCCGGTTGGTGTAGTACACTGCCACAAGTGGGTTCCGGGTCTAGGGACCAAAGCCAGACAACATAAAGACTGTGTGCTCATCTGGATCCTTCTATCCCAGGACGCTGACAGCCACCAACGATCCGGGTAATGTTCCAGATTTGGAGCCCATGACTGAGATCGAGAAACTGGAGGTTTCCGGGTTGCCAGAGCTCTGGATTCTGGCTGTGTTCTCTTAACTATAACTGCTTTTGTGAACATTACCAAGAACCTCTCTCCCAGTTCTGGACTTGGGCGCCTCAAGGGGGCAAGGGTTTCTGGTGTCATCCTAAGCCTGTCTCAATTAAGCATCCCGCCCGCCAGTTCCCAGACAACCATCCCTGGGCTCGGGAACAGTAATCCGGGAGCCAGGGGAACAAGCTAGCTACCGAGTCCTGGCTGCCAGAAAATCGTCCCGGAATCACAGAACTGGGAGGCACATCGGGCCCCGCCCCCGCCCCCGCCCCCCGCACTCACGATGGCGCGGCCGTAGCAGGCCGCCGCCTCCTGGTACTTGCGGCCCACGAAGAGCCGGTTCCCCTGCTCCTTGAGCTCCTGCGCACTCGGGCTCTTATCGGGGCTGCCACCGCCAGTGCCCAGCCGCGCGCCGCCCTCCTTTTCCTCCTTGCCCTTCATGGCGCCGCGCGGCACGGCTTGGGCTCCGCGCCCGGCCACCTAGCTCTCGCAGCCCGCGCAGCGATCAGCTCCGCCCGGTCGGCGATCCGCCACCGGAACTTCCGGCGTGGGGCGGGGCTGGCATGAGGACACGTGAGCAAAGGCGGAGCCTCGCGGCGGCTGAGCCACTTCAGGAAACACTGCGAAGCTACGGCCGCGCTCTCTACGGGCCCCGCCCCACAGTAGCCAGGGCCTATCCTCGCTATTCAGACCGAGGCTCCGCCCCCTCTGCGTTCAGGCCCCGCCCTCCGGCCCACTCCCGGGAAACGTGGCAGCGGCCCTTGAGAAGTGGCTCTCCGAGGAGCGGTCACTGGACCGCTGTCCTTGCCCGCCATGCGGGTGCACGCGGGAGCCTGGGAGCGTCTGGACCGCTGGTAGGACCGCGGAATTGAGGGAAGGAGAGGGAGGGAGGCCGGCAGGTCAGACCGTCCTCGCGGGGCTTCCCTGGGAATCGGGAGGAGCTGCCTGCGGCCATTAATGGCTGAGAAGCAAGCACGTGACACGTTGACAAGAAAGGACCTGCAGTGGCTGCTGTAGAGGAAACTGCGGGTGCGCGGCTGGACTCTCCCTTTCTTGCCCTCATGGGGAGGAGCTGCTTCAAGGGCGGAGCCAGCAGGTTTCCTTGGAGAGCGCTTGCACCTGGGGCCCTTTGACCCCATGGTCTGTAGAAGAGCCGTTCCTAGCCGCTGCCACTGCAGCCGTTGTCCACTGACTCCCCCACCCGACCCTACCCCACCCCCGCGGTTGGAGGGGCAGAACTCGGCTTTCTGCTGATCTGTGCGTTTCATGGTCCCTGTCACTGCCTCAGAGTGAGTAGGGAGCATCTTTGCCTAAGTTGGGCGGGGACTCCATAGGAGGTTTAGCTCCAAGAAGCTATCCCCAGAACCTCCCTGTCGCTCTTTGCCGTGGTCCTGGCGGCAGGAGCTTCTGAGGTGGCAGCTTTCCTATACGAAGAGGCGGTGGCTACCGTGCCTCGCTTGCTGGCCCTGCCGTACACAAACACTGCTTGCTGTTTCTAACCCAGATGCAGGAGCGCGCTGCATTCCTGAGCCAAGGTGAGCCAACTGCTGGGGCTTGGGAGGTCATGCAAGACCCCTTCAGGATTCAGGTGACTAGTAACTCTGGACCCCAGGACCCTTGCAGTCCTCATTAGCGACCACCATAGGGCTGTATAGACTTTTCCTTTTGTGAAGACAGCATTGCAGACTTGGGCTGTGGGACAGAAGCTATACCCGGACCTGCTGCCTGAACTTCACCCCAGCTGGGCTGCCCACAAGGACTGTAGGCCTGCCAAGTGAACCTGGCTCTGGTGTGGGCTTGTCTTTGGAAGGGAGGCTGAGCGAACAGGAGACCGGAGACCCTCGGAGCACAATAAATGATTGCTGAACTTGGCCTGACCCAGAAGTCCACAGTCTCTTATCACGGGCCCCACCTCCTATGTGGATTCTGGCCCTGGCCTGGAGAAGTAAAGCCACCACCTCAAGCCAGGTGCAGAGCTTCAAGGGGAAAGTGAGCACAGACCATCCTGGAGGGGAGATGTCCCATACAGTGTGGATGAGGGGGCAGACAAGTCTGCAGAGCCCCAGGACAGCTACCTAGTGCTGTGTAAAATATTTATTCATTCTCCAAAAAGGCTCAGACTGCAAGTCCTGGGGATCGGTGGGGAGGGAGGGGCTCTCCTCTAGGGCCACATTCAAGGACCTCCACCCAGCCCTGGCCTAGTAGCACCCCTCCCCCAGAAAGGCCTGGGAGGGGCAGCAAGGGCTGCAGTAAGACTTGGCCTCCACCCGGTGGATCACAGGGCCCGCCTGCCCCTGTGGGGAAGAGCAGCCCTGAGAGGTCCATCCATAGAGGGCAGACATGCAGGCCCACCTGGCGGCTGACCCACTGCAGGCCGGGCTCTGGCCATATGGCCCTAAGGAGCAGGTCAAGGTGGAGGGGGGATATCGGCACCCAGCAGGTCATAGGCAAAGACGTTCCAGAAGATGGCGAAAAGCAGGAAGGTGCCATAGGCAAGTAGCACCACCCACCAGCCGCACTGGTCCCTCAGGCGCTCCTCATAGCTTCGAAGGATGGTAAGGCCCATGCTTACACCTACCACCGCACCAGCCAGGTGTGCCATAAAGCTGGGCTGTGGGCCCGAGGCGGGCAGTGGTGGGGAGAAGCGCAGCCATACAGCCCGGCCCACTTCGGAACTCACTGCAGAGGGAGCGACAGGTGGGAGGGGCCCTGCCTGCAGGTGGAGGGCCTCCCAGCGCCCCCCCTGCCCCGTTACTCACTGCACACCAGAGCCAGCACCATCCTCAGCAGCTTGTATGGACACCGCATCCCAGCCCAGTTCTGATGGGGCAGGCAGACAGGCTGTGAAGCACATCCAGTGGGCCCCTTCCCACCTCCCCAGAAGGGCAGTCCCATTACCATGACAACATTGGCCAGGTGTGCTGAGCACAGGGCATAGACCCCTCCAGAGCCCCCTACGAGAGGGGCACGCATGTCTGTGATAGAGACAGTCAGAGAGCCTGTGGGCAAAGAGAGGTGAAGGCACAGCTGGCCCTCAGCTCACCGGGTGAGGTAGGCAGGGGACCCACTCACCAGTGTGCCTGCCTCACCTGCCAGCACACCCGCCAGGTACAGCAGGCTGATGCGAAGCACACCGTGTACCATCTCCAGGGGCACCCCAATCATCAGCTGCAAGAGGGCGTTGAACCCTAACTGCTCCAGCCTGGTCACAGAGGGGCATTGGGGAGGAGTGATCAGAGGCGTGCTTTGCCTACCCCCAGAGTACATCGGGCAGCTGCGACCCCCCTGTGGGAGTTAAGCCTTCAGAGTCAATGGGCAGGTGCTGGGAGGTGAGGGGGACAGGCCTCTGGAACCCCGAGGCTCACTTACCCAACATGCATGAACATGTAGGTGAGGAAGCGCCAGGCGCGAGCACGGTGTCCTGGGTGGTACACTAGAGGGCTCTTCATGTATTCCGGGTGGTAGGTCTGGAGCACCCACTTGTTGAGACGTGCCCCGTAGCACAGGAACACGATGATCTGGGGACACTAGTGTTAGGGCTGGTCAAGACTAGGGACTCAGGAGGCCCCGGGGCAGCATGTGGGCAGGCCCACCTGGGCAAGGGTGACAGAGGCCATGAACACAGGGGGTGGGCAGCTGCGATGCCGGTAGAAGTACCAGCGACGATCCACCTCACAGGGCAGGATCTCGTAGGCCACATATCGCACAAACCGCTTGTAGACACCGAGGCCTGGCTCATCTAGCAGTCCGTCCCGAGGCAGCGCCCGCTGTCCATTAGCAATGGCCCTCTTGAAGCTGCTGGAACGCTTGCTGCTGATCTGAAGGGAAGAGGTCTTACTGTGGGTGACAGTACTGTTCCTGTGGAACCCTGCCCTAATTGGCTGTGTAGCTGCTAATAGTTTAAAGCCCTATTCCACACTGCCCAGGTCCATAAGCCCTACCCAGTAAGCTGCCTGCCCACCCAGCTTTGGCCAGAGTGCTGTGCTTGACCAGGCCTGGGACCCTCCCCTGCTGCCCACACACCATGGCACTGACCAGGTCCACCAGCTCCTGGTAGCAGACCTGGCCCCGTTCGTTGCTCTGAGCCAGAGCCACCAACATGTCCAACTTGGTGGGGTCCAGGGGCAGCTCATGGCTGTGTACCAGGCCAGCGAAGGTGTCCGCACCGATGAAGCCTGTATTCTCAGGATCCAGCTGCTGTGGTGGGGGAGTAGAGGGTGGGCCAACCCCCAGCCACAGGGCTGAGCCAGGCTGGCCAGGAAGGCTGGACTTTGGTGGCAGTCAGTGCCTGTTTGCTAGAACCAGCTTGTTCCCAGGCCATGGCAGGGCAGGGTGCCTGGCTTGGCTGCTCTACCACCTCATATTCACCTACCAGTTCTAGAAGGGGGAGGACTAGGGGTGGATCTAGGTCCAAGGACCACCACCCTCCCTCCCCAGCCTTCCGTGGAAACCCAGTAAAGCCAGACCTTTCCTGGGGTCGTGAGTCTCAGGCCAAGGTCGTGCAGAGAGGGGAGGCTTCGGAGGTAGCTGCCTGGTAGGGCCTTCTGCGAGCATGGTCCCTCCCCCCGGAGCCCCTCACCGGCTGGAAGGGCGCCAAGGCAGTGCCAGCTCCCACCCACCACGCACCTGCTCCTGGATGAGCTGCAGCAGCGAGCTCCTGTCCATAGAGCCGGGCCGAGGGCTGGGGTCGGCCGAGGCCGGGAGGGGCTGCTCTGCGGACCGCTCCGCTCCGCCCCGGCCGGCCCGCTCCGCCTGCTCTGCTTTGCGCGCACCAAACTCAGACAGCGTCACCGAGATGCCAGCCCTGCGCGCACACGGGCAGAGCACGCGCGTACCCCAAACGCGCACGCGCCGCACCAACGCGACGCACATCCTGGGTAGAACCGTCCCCCACCAAATAGCTCGACCCAGAACCACCGCCTGCGCACAGCTCTTGCACTCATGCTGCAGAAGCTTCTCCCAGGAGGCCGTAGCTGGGAACCTGCGGCACCTAATATCCGTCTTATGCAGCCTTTCTGGTTTCTGTATTTGGTATGCTTAGCACCTTCTCTGGGAAGCTTTCCCTGACTAAAGAATAGGCCTGTGACCCATCCCCGGAATGTTAAGGTCCATTTGCTCCCCACCACACTCAGGCGTTTTCCTGAGCTGGGAGCTGCTTGCAGTAGACAGTCTGATGATTATTTGCAGTGTCGCAGCAAGGAAGCCCCAGGTCCTGCAAAGCAAGCCCAGACACCAGGTGGTAGGGTACTGCCACTGCCCAGACCAAGACTCACATCCTTCCCCCTACTTGTGGCTAAGGCTTGAAGCTCTAACCAAATACTCCTGCACTGGATTTGAGACAGCAGGGCTCCCAGTGCAAAGGCCCAAAGTCAGACATGGGTGTAACCAGGCAGACCCATAGCCTTCTGAAGGAAGGTAGGACTGCAGCTTAGATAGAGGGCATTTGTTCCTGAGGACAGAGAAGGTGACAGACCAGTGAGTGTGTAACCATGGCAACCCCTCCAAGTGTCACTCAGAAAAAAAAAAAAAAACGGAATCTGCTGCTGCAGAGATGCAATGGCAATTCCTCTATAGGGGATACAGCTGCCTACAAAAAGCATCCTGTCCATATGCTTAGCAGGACAGAAGGCCAGCAGGCTGGGACACTGGCAGACGGAAGAGGCCTCCTCTTTCAAGGATCCCCATTAGGCAGACATTCTGGAGCAGGAGTACCTACCTGCCCCAACTCAATGACACACTGGTTATCTGGGTATGTGGCTTCCTGTCTCAAGTGCTCTTGCTGGTAGGCTATGTTGAAGGATCGACTCTGAACCCCCACTGTCTACCTTCCCCTCAGCTGCTGGACAGGCTGGGATCTATGCTCTACCCCTTACAGTAACGGTCAGGCTACACATAAAGCCTAGGTTCTCAACATAGCCAGGCAGGCTGACTGGCTGAAGTTTGGAGCGTGTGGTACTAAGGAACCACCACCACAGAAGCTACATTCCCAGGGAAGAAATAGGCACGGGCATTTGACCTGTCACACATACACCAATCCACTGGTGGAGGCTGACTTTCCTGGACAGCAGACCCCAACTGAATCTTCCACAGCCATTTGTCACTGTGACTAGTGGGAGACCTCAGAATAGGGACCCAGTTGCTGGGCAGCAGTGGCACACGCCTTTAATCCCAGCACTCAGGAGGCAGAGCCAGGCAGATTTCTGTGAGTTCGAGGCCAGTCTGGTCTACAGAGCAAGATCCAGAACAGGCACCAAAAAAGAATAGGGACCCAGGGACAGAGGGAGACAGGAGGGTCAGGTGACATTTCCAATCCACACATAAAAAGAAGTCACATTTAGACTGATTGAAAAGCCATCTTTATGGGGCTGGAGAGATGGCTTAGTGGTTAAGAGCACTTGCTGCTCCTGCAGAGGACCTGGATTTGTTCCCAACATCCACATGGAAGTTTACAATCATCAGTTAACTCCAGTTCCAGGGGATCTGACACTCTCATCTGGGCTCCATGGGTACCAGGCACACACACAGTGCACTTATTTATATACATGCAGCCAAAACAAACATAGAAAAAATAAGCTTTTTTTAAAGAAAGAAAAAAGAGCCGTCTTGAGAGACCAATATCCAGGAGATGGAAAAGACAAGTGAAGTTTAATCAGGGAACCCAATTCCACTTGCTCGGCAGCTGGTCCAGTGTGGGTAAAGATAGGTGGGAACTCTGTGACTATCGGGTCCCTCCCCGATTTGACCACCACCTCTTGTCCCCCACATGCCTACTGGCCATGCAGAACCAGGAAGCACCCTGAGAACTCCTGGTCCTGGTCCCTGGCTTCTGTACCCACAGCCCAGCCCCTAACACACAATACTCCATCCAAGGCTAAGGCCTCACACCTGCCACCTGGACCCTCAGTCCCAACAGGACAGGGCAAACACAGCCTTGTTATGGAACAAGAGGTTTTTGAAGCCACGGTTTTAGACAAAGTCCCTGAGCAGGTAGGTACCCCACATCAATCCCGGGGACCCTGTAGCCACACAGTCATTACACCACCAAACTGAAAGCCCACATTCCTCTGCAGTGTGGGCCCCCACAAGGCACCACAGTGTGCAGTGCCTTGGTCACGAGAGGCTCATCGGTCCTTATCATCGGCTCTTCACTAGGACCCTGTACAGTGAGAAGCTAAGGACAGCAGCCACGGCAGTCCCAACAGCCACCAGCATTCCTCGAAGCCAAAAGGAGGTGGGGTGCAGCTCTGTGTGCACCAGGTGTCTGTGGAGAGATGAATGTGCAAGGCATGGGCTAAAAGCTCACTGCTGAAAACCCGTGTCCCAAGCAGTCAGAGACCAGGCCAAAGGGGGACACCGCCACAGCTCTGAGCCATAGGCGCCGGCCTGCAGCTCTGACGCCTTTGTACCCGGATGACAGCCTAAGCCCTGGGACAGCCACCCCACACTAAGGCTGTGTTAGGTATACCCACGGGAAGGTGGCCATGGTAGCAAGTTGGGTAAAGACAGCTGTGCTGGGCTGGGCTGGTCCCAAGCAGGAGAATGAGGTGGGGGCAGGCAGCCGGTGCCTACGGCAGAATTCAGCTGGTGACAGGCCTGGTGAAGCAACACCTTCAGGGAGATCAGCTTTGGAGGAGATGAAGAGGCAGGGGGTCTGCCCGTCCATGTAATGGCGCTGCCAGGAAAGATGCATGTGAGAACTAAGCTTGCTGGCCTAGCTAGCTAGCCTATGGCTGGTATCCCCTTACAGGATCCTAGGTCAGGACTTGCCTTGTATATGGTAGCACAGTGTACAAAGGTCTTGGGGTCACTGCTATCAAACATTAAGCAGGCGACATCACAAGTAGTGTCCGGAGAGGTGTCCAGCAGGCTATCAGCACTCACTTCACACAGCTGGGACAAACAACAGCCTGAGCGACCTCCCCAAGGCTTGGTTCCCCAAGGGCCACCCTGGGACAGCTTTATTAGGAGGAAGAATGGGGAGCATGGAGTGTTGCAGGTCTACCCTCTAAGACAGGCTGCACAGCTCCTCACTCACAATCAGGTACTTCTCCTGTCCGCTGACCCGCACTGTATTGATGGTGTGCGTGGGGGGCTTCTCAGGGAGTTCCCTGTCTTCCTGTGTGGACAACAGGAAAGAAGCCTTGATTTGCTGGCTCGCGAGTGGCACTCATGGTACCTCTCCTGCCCCTTGAGTTCCCAGGTAGAGGTTGGGACTGCCACAGTTCTCACCCTCAGGCTGTGGCCAAGGAAGGCTTGTAAGAAGGCCGACTTGCCCACTCCTCGGGCTCCCAACACCTTACACATAAGCACATTGCGTTGTGTCTGCCCTTTCTCCTGGTCTAGCCTCTTCTCACGGGTAACTGTAAAGAGCTCATGTGAGGGGGGTGGCTATTGAGGAGGCGCTGGGCCCAGGGACCAAAAAAGTAGTTACCCACCTGTGATGGCCTGTGCTTGGGAGTCCTGCTCACAAAGGGTGGGGTAGCCCAGGTAGCCAAGGTGTGCAAGGCAGTGCTGGACATCTAGGTAGGTCACCAAGCTGGGGGTAAAGGGAGGCACAGTGCTGGAGAGAGTAAGGCAAGGGTGGGTAGGGACAGACAGACAGACAGACACAGACTGTACTTACGTCCACTGGCAAAGATACCCATGCAAGGGCAGCCGGCCAGCCTGAGTGGGGACGGTGTGTGAGAGTTCAGGGCCCCAGGGAGCCACCGAGAACACACTGAAGAGATTCTGGAGCTCCGCGGGTGAGAGGGCACCATCATGGTCCTACAGGCAGAGGGGCTATGGTGACATGTGTTTGGGGTGTCGCGGGGCAGGTGAGGTAGCGGTGCTCACCTGGTCGTGCTTCTCAAACACCCGCTGCACAAACTGGTAGCCACGGTGGTTGAGCTCTGTGCTGCAGCCAGAGGGAACATGGAGCCTGTGGGAACGCCAGAGGCAGTCTAGTACACTTCAACTTTCACAAGGCAGGACCTGCCTAGGCAGCCAGGCACTCCCAACAGAACCCTCTGGTCACATGGTTGGGGCTAGGCAAGGGGAGTGGCTAGAAGTGTGTGTTGAGAGGCCAAGCTGGAATCCCCAGGTCGCAAGATCAAGGCAGATCCAATAGGAAGCCAGTGCTGAGGGCCTCCCCTCAGTGCCCGTCCCCCCCCACCCCGTCCCCCCGTCCCAGTCAGGCCCAGTGAGCAGGACCCACCCCAAGATATAAGCCCCACTGCCCACCCACTTGCAACTCACGGTGGGCAGAGGTAGTCGGGTGTCAGCTCTAGTGAGTCACTGTAACCAAAGCGCCGCAGGATGGTCCATGTGGTCTCATGACGGCCACGTTGGATGAAGAGTGTGTTCAGGAAGAGGAAACCTGTGAAAGGGTAGAGGGCGAGCACTCAGCTCAGCCACTCCCCACACATAAGGGCATAAGATGATATCTGCCTCACCTTCTAGGGTCAGCCGGTTGTCCTGTACACCGCCTGCCACGTTCTTGTATACTACCCTCTTCACATCATCTAGGGCCTGTGGGGCCAGGGGATGGCCAAAGCAGGACTTCTGCCTCCGGTAAGAAAGTGCTTCAGATCAGTCAGCTGCCCCCCTCCCATGATTACTCTCGTATGAGGGCAGCTAGGGTCTTGGGGCAGGACCACACCTGGAAGGCATTGAGCTCCTCATCACTGAGCGCATGGTCTAGGTCCTGGTCTGAGAGCCTGAAGATGCGTGTGAGAGCCTGGGCGCATGCAGGTCTTAGCTGTGGGGACACAACACCAAGTGGCCCTTCCCCTGTTCACCCCGCCAGTGCTCCCACGCATATGCTCTCCTTATTCAACACTCCACACAGAA